CAAGAGTAAGCACGTAGGAGTTATGTTTCTTGCAGGGCAACAAGGAGCAGGGCTAGGAACGAAGCGGGCAGCTCTCATCAGCCACCACCAACACCGACACCACTTGTTCCTCAAGCGTACCATGCAGAGTGGTTCCCGGCCATGCAGGCGCCTGGTTTAACACCCGGGTACCAGCTTGGCTGGGGTCACACCCCGGAACCACACGAGGCCGATGAATCAGGATGGCACGAGGCTGACGATGTAGCATGGAGACATGCTCACTCCTCTGACTTCGAGGGACTACCACCACCTGTTCAGCCACAACAGTCTACTTTGGATCGTCGCGAGCTAGATGGCATCAACACCTGCCTCGTAGGACTGGAGATCCGCAGGACTGGAGATCCGCACAGGTGAAATTCAAAATACACTTAACACTCATGTGCAGGATACGACCTAGTGGCAGCTTCAGCAGCAGCAATAGATGGTGTAAATGAACGCGCTGCTGAAGCAACAGCACGACGCATAGGTGGCCTACTAGCGGTCCATGGGATCCAATCCCGAACCATAGGCCATGAGCTAGCTTGGAGGAGGACCCCGCAGAGGTACATTGTATCTTTTTCGTATTTTAAATTTTTGCATTTATTTTCTGCATTTATTTAATTATTAGCATTTAAAAAAATTGAAAAAATTAAAAATACCAAAAAATGAAATATGATAAAAATACCAAAAATATGAATTCCATTCTCATATGTATTTTAAGAATGTTTAGTTTCTCCTTTGTTGAAATGATGAACAGTTGCTCTGTCTATAATTCATTTGTGCTTAGGCTGTAACTTAGTATTCTCCAAGATTTAAGTTTGTTGGCTAAAAATGTCTCATCCTAAAAATTTAAAAACTTGTGGGTTGCAAATGCATGCTCCTTTTCTAAGTTGTTGCGAGTTATGATATGGTACAAATAGAATATGCTATGGCTTTGTTCCAAGATAAACTAGACATTCGGAGTTTTCAATTCTAAAAAAATGCTAAAATTTAAAGTTCCTCAATGATTATGAATACCTACCAAGGCCATATGACATGATTCAAATTTAAACCTTAGTTATATGCTACTTATTATTGCACTGAGCTTTGTCAAATTATTGTGACCCTAGTTGAGATTCTCGTCATGCGACCATGATCAAGACACACGTACACCCATAAATAAAATGCTAACTCTTACACTGAGAGTTACGCAAAAACATGATTTTTCCATCCACCAAAATAATACTCCATTCATTTTGTCATACATCTCTCTCTCAAAAATTTCATATACCAAGAAGAATGGTATGGGCTATGCTAAAAAAGAAAAGAAAAATATACATGTCAAAAGGCATGAGAGGAAAAAATGCATGTCAAAGAGCATGAAGAAAAGAAAAGAAAAAGAAAGAAAGAAATAAAGATAGCCCATACTTTCAAATAAAAGGCATTCATCAAAAGAGAGATCCATGATCAAAGGAGTACCAAAAATATTTAGAATTAGGAAGTTATAAAAATTCCACACACTTACACGTCTTGATCAAAGTGTATGACTTGCATCTCCTTGAGGTCTGGTTTTTGACTTAACAAAATATGTGATGCAAGTATGCCCCACTTTCATACCTACCCAAAACTCCACTCAAAGCCATTAGTGGTAGGATGTGAAAAAGAAGGCAAAATAACAAATGCCATGGTGAGGTTTCATACACATTAAGCGATCGAGAGAATCATTTGAGGAACTTACATTTATTTTACAAAATTTATAAAACCTCCGAATAGATGGTTAATCGAGGAATGAATGATTGGTGATTCTATTACAACCATTCTATCTTGCAACCACCCAAAAACTTGAAAAAGCTATACGCCCCACATGGATCAAGGTAAAGGGTGGATAAAAAATGCTGACTTATTTGAATTGCGGAAGAATACTTTGTTATAGGCATGGCACTTATGAAATATATTTGGCATAGTAGCAACTCCTGATCAACAACTAAGTACTTAGCTATTTTCTTCGGAACGAGCAAATGTTAAGCTTGGGGGATTTGTTGGCGATCGTTAACGACCATATCCGACCGCCAATTTATATCCAAAACGGGAGAAATAAACAAACTTTTAACACATATGCAATTACTTTTAACATAGTTCCACTTGTATTGGAAGAAACATGTTTTACAGGTCACACATCTGAATACAAGTAAAAAACAAAGCAAAATGCGCAATCCAGAAAGCGTAATGCAGATCCTACATCAAAGAACCAAGCAAAGGCCCACTCCAACGAAGAATCTGGGCCGAGCACCGACATGGGAGGAGCCCAGACCCACCCAGGAACCGACCACATGAAGGCAGTCGTGAGGTGGCCCCAGTGGATGGCTCCTGGGCCCGGCTTCCTTTGGCGGTTGCATGGCGGCATGCAACGTCGGTCCATGGTGGTTTCCAATTTAATCAGCACCGAAACCGACCACTTAATAGTATAAATAGGGGGTAGTGCTCACCTTCAACACACACCATTTGGAGCTACACACCTCACTACCACCTCTTGTATTTTTACTTTTAGTAGTATTTTGTGAGCTAGCAAAGCTATCAAGGAGGGCTTGGCTTCTTAAAAGAAGAGAGACATCTTGGTATGAATACTATGAAGTGTTCTTCCATAGCCTTATTCTCATTCTATCAATATAGTTGTGCATATGAACTAGACTATAGTTCTCATGTTATAATCTTGACATATGAACTAACATATAGTTTGTGTCTTATGATCTTAACATGTGCAACTTTATGCTTAACCATTCATATGACTTATATGAGTAGAAGTAGAGCTAGGAGTGAGGTGGTGGTTCGTCATTCCTTCCAGTTTGCCCATATTCTTGCTTATTGATCTGTAGGGTCGGAGTCTTGGGGGGATATGGGTAGTTTTCTTGTACACAGGCGTGGTGCTCGGGTGCACGGGAACCTTTGGTTATGACGGTGCCCCCCGGTTGAGGGGTAGGCGGCATGTGGTGATAGCCCTATCCGTCCCTTGTAATCCCCCATGTTTGGGTATCGTGTAGGAGTTTATAAAGTCTCTATGGCTTGCTGGCAGACCAGTGTTCGGGGATCTCTCCATCCATCTTACACTTAGTTCTAACTCTAACCATATAATTTATATGATTATTAACTGTTCTTTGCACGGCTATATTAGAACATGCTTGCTCCGCTTACAAATATTCTTTTATTTTTTGTTTTCCGTTTATCCTTGAGGTTGGCTCAGATGTGTGTCCACTATCCTTGAAATACCATTTTACCTCTGTCATATACTATTGGTTTACTATGCAAGTATGTAATGTTGTTCATATCCATACTAGACTCTTATACCTTACCCTCATTTGGGAAAATATAAATAACGATACCCTGAATACTTTTGGGTGAAATGCTACAACACTTCTGTAATCGTTAAGAACTATCGTTAAAGGTATTTCTTGGTAGCATCGCTAGGAAACACAAATCTTAGTGATGTCGCTAAGAAATGCCAACAAGCATTTCTGGCGCCGTTGCCGGGGATGGAGTGTATCTCCATACTTGGTGATTGCGCTAAGAATTGCCAACAAGCATTTCTAGCGCCGTTGCCGGGGATGGAGTCTATCTCCATACTTGTGATTGTGCTAAGAAATGCCAACAGTGGCTTAGATGAACCTCGGGTTAAATCATGTGTCTTGCCCTTTGTTGTTGAGTTTGTGCCTCTCTTGTTTGAATTCTATTTCTAGGGTTTTCACCTGATCTGGGACTAGGTGCAAAAGGAAGCTCACACCACCAAGAAGCTGGTATTTAACTCAACCTAAGATTCAATTCTGCTCATTTCACTTGTTGGTGTTTTCAGCGAAACTTCTAAGGATTTGCATGGAACTTCCGTGATCGTGGTAGTTCCATGGGGAATGCGCGGAACCTCTCCGTTTTGCTAACCCGCTGTTTCGAGTTTTAAGTTTTTATAGGTCTCTTTACCTCTCTAGACCTTGCCTCAATCCTTTCAGTATGATATGGATAGAAATCAAAATCTAGGATTTTTTTGTTAGAAAAGAACATACAAGGAAATTATTTCTATTAGTGCTCCATCAGGTAAATTTTATTTTCCTATTATTTTAGGTATGCCGGTTATTTCATGGTTATGGAACCAACTGTAAAATTATTTCCCAATTTTCCATTAGCCCGTTTAGATCCTTTCATTTTGGAGGAACTAAAAGATACCTCACGCATTGTTGTAGGACTTTCTTAATAATAAAATTGTTGCATATATGAGTTAAACTTACATGTTCTTATGCCCATTCTTATTAAAAGTGAGCAAGACAATGAAAAAATCGAATAAAAAAGTAATAGAATTAGATAGAATTACAATTTATAAGAGGATGGAACAACAAAATAAATAGCAACATATGGATGCCTTTTATATTCTTATATCTTGAAAGTAGTAATTACACTTAGTAGAGATAATACGAATAACTTGCATTAAAAGATTGAAAGTTAGTGGGATGACTTGGTTATTAGTGGGAGATAATGTGGATAGTTACTTACTTAGTGGGAGTGCGGATAGTTTGCATGTTGGGACAAAACTTGAGAGGGGATTAACTTTATAAGAGATTCATAACTTTCTAGAGTTTAGATATAAATCCATCTCAAATTTATAGGGTAATAGATAGAAATTGATTCCATAGATACTCATGTTATATTTATGTCTGCAATTTATAGTACACTATTTGGCTCGCTCTCCAATAGTAGAAGCACAACAAATAAACATCTCCCTTATGTTACCAATTCTAGTAATTTATAATGGAATAAATATAAAACTTAAATATAGATATATACTCCATCCGTTCTCAAATAAATCAATTTCCGTCGGATCTGGATGCCTCCTGCTCGCCAATCCTATCACATCACGCACTCCCTTCCGGCGAATCCAGCACGGAACAAATTGCCCCCCACCCACCTTGACTCGCCGCCGCCGTCGCAAACCCCCCACCCGATCCCCAAATTCTCCGGTGGTGATGGCGGCCAGCCTGTGGCGCGCCGTGATGGACAGCGTCAGTGGCTCCTCCTCCTCCCCCTTGGTGCTGGACGCGGCCCCGGGCGGCGGCGTCGAGTTCTGGCACGGCGCGGAGCGCGCGGGGTGGCTAAATAAGCAGGGCGAGTACATCAAGACGTGGAGGCGGCGGTGGTTCGTGCTCAAGCAGGGGCGGCTCTTCTGGTTCAAGGACCCTGCGGTGACGCGGGCCTCGGTGCCCCGCGGCGTCATCCCCGTCGCCTCTTGCCTCACAGTCAAGGGCGCCGAGGACGTGCTCAACCGCCAGTTCGCCTTCGAGCTCTCCACGCCTGCCGAGACCATGTACTTCATTGCGGACTCCGAGAAGGAGAAGGAGGAGTGGATTAACTCCATCGGTCGCTCCATCGTCCAGCACTCCCGGTCCGTCACCGACGCAGAGGTTGTCGACTACGACAGCCGCCCCCAGCCCCCGCCGCAGCCTAAGGCTAGCGAAGAGAGTGAACCAGCAGCTTAATGGCGCGGTGATTCCTGTGAACTCTCTCGATATGGCTCTGAATTGTAGCCTATGTACCTCCAATTCCAAGTGATTGTGGGCTTGTGCCGACGTTCCTTTGTTTCTTCACTCTTGATTATGTGTAGCAGTATATTAGCTATCAACGACATGGTCTGGTATGGTAATAAGCTGTACTTTCGTGTATAGTTTTTTTTTTTATATATATACTATACTACGGATTTTTTTTTTGAAACATACTATACTACGAATTGATCTTGGTACACCATAATTTACTAGGTGGTTGATGTCCGGCTAGTTTTTTTACAGTTTTGAAGTTTTGGCTCCAGTTTCAGAAATTGCAATAGATTTTAATCATCCAGTATTCCATTCCTCTCGTTCCTTTTGTTGAGTTTGACTTGTTCTATTCCGATGGAATTGTATCGAGTCGCAGAGGATTGCTTAACTGACTCCGCATTTTTGCAGAAGATTCCCCAGTTTAGATCCGCTCTGACTCTAGTGCTCTTATGAAGTTTCTGTCCTAGAAGTAGAAACACAAACACAAACACTGATGAAGTGATGAATGTGCTGTAGTATGCTTATTAACCATGAAGTAAAACTGTAAAAGAGCCATATATCAAGATGTCTTATGCTGTAATCTGAAGTGGAAGTTTTCTGTAGTGAATTGGTGTATGCAGTACTGCTTGAGTGTCAACATGCGCTGTGTTTATTTGTATAGTTGTGGAAATTCTGTGTCATTAGAAACTACAGTAAGAGGATGGATCCTTCCTCCATCCTTTGTGAATTATGCTTAATTAAAGTCAAAACTGGTGCTAATATTGCACAGTATCTTATATGTTATCCTTCTATTGATCAGTGGCCTGTGACCATGTTCATTTGTTTCCTGTCTTGTAGGTTGATGAGTGCAGCCTGGTAATAAGTCTGGTTTTCTTATGCATGTCTAATAGCTTGTTCTTTCATATTATGTATTGGCCTTGCAATAGCATAATTTACTAACTGTTTTGTTACACTCCAATGTTTGTGATTAAATTTCATCTACTTGTTTCATTTTATGACATAGGTAGGATATTTTGCCACTAACATTAGCTCCCTTGTAATGTGCTTACAAAGTTTGTGTCCGATATGGTCTATTCGGGTGTTTGGGGTGTTAACATTTATGAGAAATTGAGAATAGCTGCAATGGGAGTAGGAATACTGGTGTGTGGTGTGTGTGGAACAGCACAATGTTTGTTAGTGACCAAGTCAAATAACCATACATAAATGCCTATGTTGTGATCTGAATATGTATATTACTTAGGGTATCAGGTTATCTCCTTACAGCAAACTCGTCCTAGGTTAATCAGGTGTCTGAATATGTAAACTGGAATGCCAGCATTGGTTTGTAGCACCATGTATAGAGTTTGGAGCTGTAGCCCATGTTGATCAATTTAATATTTTCTTCCTCTTGACTTGATGGCACCTGAATCTTGAGTACGTAGTTAAGATTTCAGCCGGCTATTACAGGTGGTGTTAGAGCAAGGCTAATAGTACAGCCGACTGTTAGCTGTAAGGTTTCTTTGTAGCCTTCTCCCACCCATATAATAGTTAGCTCTTCACTATTAATACATGATCTATCTGTCTCTCTCACAAAGTTTATTGGTTACTATGCCTAAACTAGCTGTAAGCTTACAGCCCGCTTTCTCCTCTCTCTCCTCCACCTCAGCATTTAGCCGGCTTACGACCTGTAATTATACTTGCTCTTAGTTTAGTACTCCGTAGAAGTACAGGTTCTTTTCTGGGCTCTGTGCTCATGTTGACCTAGTTCAGCTCAACTGCTTTTAGATAGCGCTTTAACATATGTTCTGTGTTCAGACGACTAACCTTTCAATGGCGCTTGCTGTGACAAAGCTATTTTTGCCTTTTATGTTTTGAAACACCCCGCTGATTCTACAGTAAGTTTGAAGCCAAAATCCCATGGCATATGCAATCCGAATGCCTCTTGGTATGACGGTCTTTATGCTTGCAAAGGGTCTTGCCTCACTGGCCCAATGGGTATTGACAGGTGGAGACTAATATGTTGTCAGCACCATCATTTCGGCCCAGCTACAATTTTTTTTTGAACAACTCATAAGGGCCTTACATTCCTGTCAGAAAAAAGATGAGGGGCTTAAATAAACTAGTATAATATCCGTGTTAACGCCACGGCTTTATCTTGGGGATGCACATGAAACAACCTAACAATGAACTTTTTTCATAGTTCAACTTTTCCACAATAGTATATTGCCCGTGCTAACGCTATGGTGGTGTCATGATAAAACCACATAATGCTCCTAAATCATGACAAAACTACCTAAAGCTCATGTAGGTTTAGCACTAAAATCTTATAACAAAACTCAAAGAGCTGAGCTGGAACCTTAACCTTATACTCATGATTCATGTTATCGTAATTCGTAATACAGATGAATCATGTAAATGTAATAATAATAAAAACAAAAGACACAAGTACAGTCCAACCAAGCAAGCTACATGCTACTTGTAAATCAAAGTCTAAAAAAGATTAGAAAATATCTCAAACATTCAAACACGACCCAATACTGTAAATCAAAAGACTAATGCACGACCACCATCCAACATGGCTCACACAGCCAACAAGTAAGAGGATAGATAAAATGACTGTCTTCTACTGTCTTAGATGGACATACCCAGTGCAGAAAGCTCCCGCTCTGTGCGGGGTCTGGGGAAGGGTGTTAGTGGCAAGCCTTATCCTCGCCTGTGCAATGCGAGGAGACCGCGACTCGAACCCGAGACCTTCCGGTCACAGGCGGTAAGACTCTACCGCTTGCACCAAGTCCGCCCTTCTGAAATAATATAGGAAATAATAAATCAGGAAAAAACATTTTAATTGAACTCTACGTCATATCTCTTAATCCATGGTGAAACTATAAAGAGAGGGTGAGATGTCAATACAAGGTCAATTAAACTCCTATTTATGGACCTCACAAAATCACAACAATATGATATTTTCCATTGTCCATCAAGTCAAACAGAAACAAGTAAACCTAGACTCTTTGTTCTCCGGGACGACATCAAGCGTTGAACTTCTACATTCACTCTATCAGGAGTCACATTGTGATCACAGTGCTTATGCTTTAAAATCCTATCTCCATTTGCCATTCTCAGTAATGATTCACCAGCAGTTTGAAAACTTACAAGTGTCAACCCTACACTTTTATGTGAGATACAGAAGCCACAGTACCACAAAGAAGAAGTGAACCTGCTGGAAGCCCTAACCTGAGTAGAGGATAACATTCATAGCCCCACACTGCAAGTAATCTACTACTACCAAATAGCAAATTCTTGACCTGCTCCCTGCAGACCAAAACCTTGCCTGTATTTTTCATACCTAATAAAGTTAACAGGAACTGCACAGCCCACAACCAAAACAATATTATGATTCAAACTAAGAACTTGAGACTTCAAAATAACCCCTGCCCCCAGTCTAGGATAAACTCCTGCCTAAAATACGACATGACCAATAATTAGCAAGGTCTTCTAATATCTGGTATTCCTTGAGTAAAATCATGGAACAAAAGGCACGCACAACAAAATTTAGAAAGGGAGCACCCACCCGCACCAAACTTCCCATGCACCAAACTTCCCATGACACCGAGCAATGCTGCCTTGGCTTGCACGCCCTGCCCACCGAGCAACTTGCAAATCCTAGGACCGAGCTTCCCAAACATCCCGATGGCACAGGCCTAGGCCCCGCCCCTTCCACCGCTTTGGCCAAGCATGTACCGCCCCACCTCGCACCGCCTTGCTCGCTCCCCATCACCTCGAACAACAACGGCTTCAAGAAACAGCGTCACACGGTCGCATTGCCCGCTTCGGCAACGCCGAAGCCGGCTGAGGGCGGAGGTACATTGCCGCTGAGCTGCCCGCGACGTCTTGGCACGCTGTCACAAGACGGAGGTGTCGGACGCCGGGTCCTTGAGCCGCCGCGCAAGGTGGGCGAGCACCTTGTGGAGGGAGCATGCTTGCGCGGCGCGTCCGGATGTGACGCGCAGAAGAGCATGGCGGCGAGGCGCAGCGATTTCGCGCTGGGGAGGCGAGCCCCGGAGTCGGATGGCGCGCGTTGAGCGCAAAGATGGGCGCAGCGTCGGTCGGCGGCGGTGCGCAGATGATGCGGTCCAGCTCCTCGACGCGATGTGGTGCGTGTCGCGTCCGAGAGCTTGGCGAGGCGGTGAGCACGCTGCGACTTGAGCTCCGCCATCATCGCGTTCTTCGATCATTGCCAGACCGGGCGCGCCGACATAACGGCGGTAGAGGCGCCGCCCACCGCCGGCCGACAGCGCGCACTGGAGCCGGGTTCGGCGGTGGTGGTGGCGGGCTATTGTGTGGTGGGTGACCTAGGGTGGGATTTGACGGCGGATTTGGAGAGCGCGGTCGCCATTGCGGTGGGAATCTGCAGTATGCAAGTGGGTGTAGGAATCGAACTTGGGCGTGTGGGATGCGGGGGAGGAGCGAGGGCGCGGCGTCGGCGTGCGGGGTGTGGATGCGTGAGAAGCCTGGCATCCCACATCGAATCGTGGCCATCAGATTTGATTTAGGTGCTTTATTAGCCCTTGATTTTAATGGAGATGAATTCCCGTGTGCATTTTTCTGGGTGCATAATGGTTGAAAGCTCTCAGCGGGGGATGTTTTTCGGGGGGACCTAGTATAATTTTGATTGGTCTATTATAGTAGAGATGCTTACAACCCCACATGTCGGTCCACGTCAACACATAGTCACTATGCCACATCAGTGATGGAGCGGATAAGACTATTTGAACTAATGTTGGTATTCGGGACAAGTTTAGAGACTTAGATGCTATTGTCGTACAAGTTCGATGGCCTAAATATCAAAACTCAAGAATTGGGGACTCGAATGCAATTGCCATGCAAGTTTAGAGGTTGATTGTGAATTTTACTACAAAAATTAATTCATGTGTGTCCTTAATGCATTTTACCTATGCATGGTAGTGGAGCTTAGTAAGGGCCAAAGTGGGCCATGCCCCCAAATAAAGCTACTCGTAGAAGATTTCTTAATTAAATATTCGCTCCATCCCATAAAAGTCACTATGGGATTCATGCTTGACTAGGTTTGTAGAAAATATTAGCAACATTTGTATCTCCAAATAAGTTTATTATATAAAAATTTATGCAATGATTTATTTAATGATACTAATTATGTACCATAAATATTAATATTTTAGATGTATATTTGATTAAAGTTGAAAATATTTTACTTCTGCGAGTTTAATATTTTTCATGGGACGAGGGAGTACATGATTTTGCTACTTCAAATTACTATGAAAATACAGGTATGACCCCCCCTCTCTGTGCATTTCATATCAGTTGCCCCGTCTCTTTCTTTTTTTTTTGGTCCAAGCTCCGCCACTGCCTATGCGTGCTAAATAGAGCTATAAGTTCATGATTTTCATCGTATATATGTTCCCCGTTTGCCTTTGCTCTCCATAATAACCATTGCTTAAACCTACCAGTATCGTCATGCCACTCAAGCCTTCGTTGAGGTCGAACACGCTTGTGCTTCGTTTTGTTGTGCACCCTTGTCAGGTCTTACTATACGCGACATTACTATGAAACGTACCTTCTGTTACAAACCCAGGCTGGTCGCTTCCAGGCATCAAAAGGACGTCTTTTATGGGCTTGTTATAAGCTCTATATGCTATCCTGTAGTACCGCATACGTACAAAATACATCTGCTGACTTCTCAAAACACGGCTGGCCTGGCCTGCCGTGCGAAAAACGCCAAGAGCCACGTAACGGCACGGCAAACTGGCAAAGCGAGTCCAGCGATCCAGTCCAGCAAGTTGCTGGCGCCGCGGCCCGCGAGATCCGTAGTAGCGCAACGCAAGGGGTCACCGGCCACGTAACGTAGCGGCAAGAGCCACTCCGAGAGCCCCCCCGAGTCAACGCCCTCCTGCCCACGCGCGGCGCGAGATCCAACGGCAGACGACCGACGAGGAGGATCCAGCCGCAGTGCCGCAAAGCCCATCCCGCCCCCACGCTGAACGTCGCCTCACTGTGCCGCGCTCGCACTCGTCAGTCGTCCCGTCGCCATCTCCCATCTCGTCACCGCAAACCAAACCCGCACGGGGCCCCCGTGCGGCCGTGGCCTACCGGTGAACGCCACCCAAAGCCCCCGCGAGCACGGCATCTCATCACGGGCGCGCGCGGCCAAGAGGCAAGAGTCCTGCCCCCCCCCTGCGAAGTGCGAAAGCGCCTGTCAGTCTGTCACCTCCAGTGCCGCAGCGCGCACAGGGTTTTAGGCAGGCAGGGGCGACACCGGGATCGATCGCCAGCCATATGGAATCCACAACGGCGGCCGTCCGTAGCGCGTCGCACGCGCGGGCCCGGTCCGCGCTCGTCTACGGGGGCGCGCGCGGGGCGCGGCGCGTCGTGGGCGCTGTCCCCGCCGCCGCGCGCGCCCGGCGGAGGGCGCCCGTCGTCGTCGCCGTAGCCTCCCACCACCAGGAGCACCTCGAGCCGCTCCCGTCGCGGGCGCAGGAGGGCGGCGCCGTGGCGGTGGCGACCACCCAGGTGAGTCGCGTCGGACCGGAATCGTGCGCGCGCGTTCTTCTCGGCTGCTCGCCGCACCGTGATGCGCTGATGTTTTGGGGAGTTTTTTTATGCAGGCTGACGAGGCGGAGGTCCATGCGAACGACGCTGCGGCGGCGGCTGCTGAAACCTCGTCTCCTCAACTGGGTAAGTCGGCGGCGATGGTGCGAAACTTCTAAATCTGTTTGATCCCGAATGATGGATCCTTTAGTTCTCGTTTTTACTGCGCCCTTCATGTTCTTTGCCCCCCTCCCGGTTCCAGGTAAGACAGTGCGCGTCCGATTTGTGCTGCAAAAGCAGTGCACGTTCGGGCAGAGCGTCTGCCTCGTCGGCGACGACCCTGCGCTCGGCCTCTGGGATCCGTTGAATGCGTTTGCTTTGGAGTGGGCGGAGGAAAGCCACGACTGGATCTTAGAGAAAGTGAGCCTCCTTTCGTGCGCATGCGCATTGTGTGTGATGATCTGCGTGCTTCTGAAGTGATGACGTCACCCCTTTTGTCTATCCTGTTTTGATGACCAGGATTTACCGGCCAACAAGCCGATTGAGTTCAAGTTCTTGCTCCAAGATTCCACAGGGAAGTTGCATTGGCAGGATGGGCTGAACAGAAGCTTTCAGACAGGTGAAACCGCAAACACATTGGTTGTCTTTGAAGATTGGGATGATGTGAGGAATCAGAAAATAGCAGAAGAGGAGGGAGTGGTGTCTACTGGGATGGAGCAAACTGTTGTTTCAAATGACAGCAAAAGCAGAAAGGATACTGTTTTAGAAGAGGAGCTTGTCTTTGAAGATTGGGATGATGTGAGGAATCAGAAAATAGCAGAAGAGGAGGGAGTGGTGTCTACTGGGATAGAGCAAACTGTTGTTTCAAATGACAGCAAAAGCAGAAAGGATACTGTTTTAGAAGAGGAGCTCCAAGTGGATGATAATCAAGTCAAAGAGGATGAATCCGTTGTTGCCAAGGAGGACAAGAAGCCAGCAGTTGCCACAGATGCTTCTGTTCAAGTAGATTGGGTGAAGACAAACGAAGCTAACCCTCAAAAGGTAACCTGTTTAATCAACACCTTCTTCACATGACATACAGCAAACACAGTTCAATTCCAGAAGCCTTTTTATATACATATCTGTACGCATTACCACTCAACTATTATTCCGTTGTCTATAAGTAGTTCAGTGTACATTCTATGCGTGCTATATGAAACATCTATTAGGTTCTGGAGAGTGTGGTAATGCGTTTACAAGGGACCACGCTGATAATAGTTGAGGAGTATTAACAACTGCGCACTAGTTTAATTCATCGGAGCACATTAGAGTTTGGTAGTTCCTTACTAAGTTTATGGAAAATAATTGGAACTGAAAGTTTATCTATTGTACTCATTTGAATAGGAGGAAGGGGTGAAAAGTGCACAATTCAGGGGTTTCCTAGGGTGGAAAAAAGCCCGCAATCCAATGTCTATGTTTAATAGTTCAATGATCCATGTTAAGTCTATTTCTCATTCGATGAGCCTTTTCTTTTTCTTGATCAGTCAATGCTGCATGAGGAAATGGAGGTTCTAGACGAACTTCTTGGAAAAGAAAACATGGAGAACAGCAGTATTTCGAGTACTGACGAGAATTATGCTGAAAAAACTGGAGGAGATAATATCTTGTCTGAGGATGGTGTTCCGGTTGAGAATGGGTTGGCCACTGCTTATGAACATGATTTGCTTTGGGGTTGGAAGGCCCTGCAGTGGCTGCTGATGAGCCTGGGCTTCAAAATGGATACAACATGAAAAGGCATAATCTACTACTACATATCTAGTATTCGTATGTTGCAATTCGGATGCGATGGTGTTGCTTTCCAGGATAATCTGTTTTGACTCCTGAGGAGACTGCCTTATGGATGTTCATTCACGGAAAAGGGCAAAAGGCTTTGCACTCTAGATTCTAGAAAGCTGCTGGCATTGTGGTATTGTATGTATATAATATGTTGGTTTTCCAGAGGTGCTGTATCTTAGAAGATAAGAACCTGTTATTGTAAATAATCGATCATCAGTTTTACTATCAGTTGTGGTCGAAAAATTCGCAGGGATTAACATTTATGGTGAGTTAGTCATGCAGTGCATGGTTAATAAGGCACTGCTTAGTTCCAAAAAAATTTCACCTCAAAGTGACATGCATGGAGTATTAAATGTGAAGCGAAAAAAAAAACTAATTGTCAGTTCATGTAGAGCGAATCTTTAAGCCTAAGTAGTCAAGTCGAAAAGCCTTAAGTGTTCTGAAAATTGTGCATGACCGATTAATTAGTATCATTAGATTCGTCTCGCAGTTTTCTGATGGGTTATGTAATTTGTTTTTTTATTAGTATCCAAAACCTTCTCTTGACATCCTTCCAACACATCTGATGTGACACCCAAAAATTTTCACCTTCCCAACTAAACACGCACTAACTATGGCTAGAGAAGACACACACTAAGGTTGCACGGTTGAGGTTTTTATGATCATCGGAAACCGAATCAGTATGTCCCGAATCAGTATGTCAAGCCTCCATCAAATCAATAATTGTCCCAATTTGATGGATGATCGGGCACTCCTGCTCCCATCAACGCTCGTGCCCAATGGCTCCTGATCCCACATCCAACGTCGCCCCACGTCAGATTCGCTGCTCCGCCCGCTATCGCCTTAGCTTGACGCTGTTGGGTCTAGCTCAACATCCCAATTCCCACCCAATGCGCGTCCACCTGATTTGGGTGCCCCATCCGTTGACATTGCTCGATCGATGATGGCACCTCTAGTCTAGAGGTTGGCTTGCCTCCTCCTACAGACGTATCAGGGAGAAGTTTCGATGGGGGAGAAGAGGTGGCTTGAATGAATGGAGCGGCAATTGGGAAAAGCTCGTGTGTGGAACCGAAAGGACCAATTGGATTTGATAGGTACTCCCCCACCCAAAATAAGTGCTGTTTTGGGTCTTCAACTTTATTAAGTTTGATTAGATTTATATAAAAAAGTTTATAATATTTGTATCTTAAAATAAGTTTTTATAAATTAATTTAATGATACTTATTATGCATCATATATATTAATAATTTGATATGTATATTTAGTTAAAGTTAAAATTGTTTGATTTCTCAAAAAGTGAGGATGACGTTTATTTTAGGACAGAGAGAATACGCTAGACCATGTATGTTTTGCAAGATAAAAGAGGAGAAAGAAAAAAAAAGAGAAAACATCCCTACATGGAAAGAATCCAAAAGTTATAAGGTTTAAATTAAATAAATAGTAGCGAACTCAGCATAAGTCAATGAGTATTAAGAAAAGTTATAACATACGCATTTTAGATTGTTTTTTAATTAAATAATATTTTATCTGTCAGCAAATTTCTCGAATGTCGACGAAGATGGAGAGATTCCCCGAGTGGCCGAGCCCTATTTTACAGCTAGCCCCCCGGCCCATCCAGATCCAGGGACCCAGCAGCTGATTCGCCCGGCCACATCGCCCAAGCCCGCTAAACCCAAACTTGTCCTCATCGCTCCGGCGCGGCGACGAGGCACCCCGCCGCCGCGCGATGGCCGACGGCACCAGCAGCAGCGGCGGGGCGCAGGACGGGGGTGAGTCGGTGGTGATCGACTACGGCCGGCGCCACAAAACCTGCGGCTACTGCCGATCCTCCGGGCCCACGAGCATCTCCCACGGTACCGATTTCCGAACCCCGTCCGATGAAACTGATTCGCTCTGCTTCGACCTGTATCGGACCCTCAAGCTTTGTTGCGCGTGGAATCGCCCGTTGGTTCTACTATAGCGTTGAATCGCCTGTTGGTTCTAGTATCTCGACGCGTCACGCAGAGGATGTCTGACCCCGGATCACCACGATAACTTGTGAATTTCCTTTTAGATATTGCTGCCAAGGGACAGTGCAAACGAACGACGGCTTTGTAGTTTGAGCTGGGGAGGATAGTTATTTTTTCAGCTTATGGCCTTAATGAATCATGGTTGCCAATTCAGGGGCTTGGTTAATCTATGAACCTCTGAACGCTCGTTGTTACGTTTTTGTTTTGTTATTAGTTTTTGAATGCTTCAAATGCCTCATTTTTTTTCCACTTAGCTTGTAATGCTTGAAACAAGCCAGCAACCATCTAGTTTTGTCTCTGAAAACAATCCATATGGATCATGTAGCACATGTTATCTGTGGTGTTATAAACAGTGATAGAGCAAAGCCCGAGGCTGCCTGGGCTTTAGCCTGGTCGAAGGCAGTTTTAACAATAGCAATAGAAAACCACTAAAAATGTACAGATGTCTATGGTTCAAAGGATTTAAGTTTGCCTAGCACTAGATAGGCCTTGGGGGAGTTGGGGCATAGTCCATTTCTGGCTCCACCCTGGTTATAAAGTATATCCAACTTTGATTTAACTAGTCAGTTTTACAAGGTAAAAAGATATAGTAGATGGGAATTGCTTTGACCTTTACATTACACATTTCATCATTTTCTCCTTTGTTATTTGTTATTTCTTTTCTTGTTGTTCTACCTTTCATGTATATACTTGTGTATAGAAGGCTTTGCCACATCATCATTTACCGTGCTACTTTCTATCCTATTAATCTTGCAGGTATGTGGGCTAACAGTCTGAAAGCTGATGACTATCAAGGTACAAAGTTTTGACCATTTCAAAATTTTGCATTTTGTATGCTACCTGGGAACACATTATTGGTATTCCGCTTCTAGGAAAACAAGATTCTATATGGATTTTGGAGGCTTGCTACCTTTTTTACACATGGTTTAAGGTTATAAATGTTATAACACAAATACGTCCTGATTCCTGAGCGCTTCCTGTATTCAAAACCTAGTTAGCAAAACGAGTAAGTGACAAAATAATACATGTGCAATTGCTAACATTCAATTGCTTATCTAGAATCATGTAAACATTCAAATTGTGATATCTTTATAAGGCCATACTTTCCTGGCATTATGGACATGAAATAAATGATGACAGGCAGTATAAGATGGCCAAAATATATTTTGAACAATTCAGCAGGGGAGCCCCCTACCTATATTTTTTCATTTTCATATAAGGAAATGTACAAACAGCAAAGAAAGAGGTATGTACAAAGGTTACAAAACTTACAAGGCAGCCAGGCCCAAAAAAGAGAAAAAAAAAGAAACATTAGGAGTAATTGTCTCACCAAACAGATAGAGGTCCTTTTGTAGCCGGCTTGGCTTTGGTACACACCAGACCAAGCTCCTCCTTGAAATGCCTCTTCCAAACCGAGAGGTTACAAACTCCATTGTCAAAAATGATGTCATTTCTAGTTTTCCAAATGATCCAGCAAGCTGGGGAAGGGTGTCAGTGGCAAGCCTTACCGCCTGTGCAATGCGAGGAGACCGCGACTCGAACCCGAGACCTTCCGGTCATAGGCGGTGAGACTCTACCGCTTGCACCAGCAAGCTGTAATCATGATCTCTCTGAAAATGCAATGACCAAAGGTAGTCCGAGCTTCAATTACCATGTCAAGAGGATCCAAATTCAAGTTCCAATGGATGTGTAGGGTATTCCAGCAGTCCTGGCTGAAGGGACATGATAAGAAAAGACGGAGGAGGGTTTCTTCACAGCCACTGTTGCAAAGCACACAATTGTAATCATCCAAATCCCTGTTCTTCCTTCTGAGGATATTTCTAGTGTTTAGTTGATCTCTTAAAAGTAGCCAAAAGAAGAATTTGTGTTTGCCTAAATTGCTAGAAGACCATAGCCAGTCAAAGAGAGGTGAAGCCTCCAAAGACCCCATCATCTGATTTTAAGCCTTCCTAGCATGAAAGTTTGCCCCCCAAGAATAGGTCCAAGTGTGTCATTGATATCAGGATTCATATGTCTGTCATTTAAAAGCACTTGCAATTCAGCTAGTTGTGAAGCTGCATGACTAGTCATAGGGATGCTGAAGATTCTACTCACTTCTTGACTGATGAAGAATTGCACAGAACATTTCTGTTTTTTGGCAAAGGAGAATAACTGTCGGAACCTGTTCTTCAGGGTGTTACCAGACCAATTTTCAAGCCATAATAGAGCAGTATTGCCTTTATTGGGCACACAACAGAGAAGGATTTGAATTTTTCGAACAGCTTTAAAATATCCTTCCACCAAAAGGACCCAGTTGGGCATCTAGGGTGGGGTTTGATGATTACCATATAATTTCAACCAGGTCAGCTGCTGAGTTATAGAACTTATCCAAATATTTTATAAGGGCTGAGTTCTGAGTTTTTAGATCAATGATACCCAATCCTCCTTCCTTTTGTGATCTGCAGGCTGCTTCCCATGCTGTCAGACAGTTGCCTTTTCTATTTATCTCACCTCCATTCCAAAGACACTTCTTTCTGTAGCTGTCTATTTGTTTGATGATCTGTGGGGGGAGTTGTAAAGTGCACATGTAGAATGTTGGCAGGGCTGAGAGTACAGAATTAACCAGAGTAAGTCTTCCATGATAGGAGAGGAACTTGCTGATTCCAGTGAGTCTCCTTTCAATCCTTGTCAACAAAGGAGAGAATTCTTGCAGAGTAGGTTTAGTTGTGCCCAGGGGAAGCCCAAGATAGGCAAAAGGCATTGTTCCTACTGCACATCCAAAAGTATTGGCAAGGTGAATAGTTTTTGACTCTGACAGGTTAATAGGCACTAAAAAGGATTTCTGAAAATTCACATGCAAGCCAGTAGAGTCAGAGAAGGATCTGAGCAGGCCTTTTAAGTTGAATAGGATTCTAGCTTCAGCTGGCAGGATGAGCAAAGTGTCATCTGCATATTGGACAATGGGA